AAGGCTTAAGTTACTTTTGATTAGCAGTTCTAACATCAAGCAGTAACTGGCAAGCTAGCAGGTCCTATGAATCAAGGCTTTCATAAGTAAAAATATCAAAGCAGTAAAAACAATCCATCCTCTGTGGATTAAAATGTCAATTTATCCCTTTACATATTTTTTTCTGTATTGCTTTTCATTCCCTTGGAATCTATGTTGTCTCTAAACTTCAATATCAATTTTAACGAATACATTTGCTGAAAATTAGGTTTTGAGTGGACCGGTTTATGACACCCGTGTGTTGAATTAAGAGTTTTATCTCAAATGTTAAATAGGAGGCACAGTGTGCCTTGTCCAGCAATAATGGCATACTAAAGTAGAGCTTTTACCCCACAGAGATGCCTCTGTACGAACTTGGCAGATGCCATTTGTCATAATTACAGTTTTAACTCACATACACACAAGCACAATAAACAACTTGCTTTTAAATTTAGTTTATGACTTGTGTATGGACTTATTTTTCTGGGCAACGAAACTGTGTAGCCGAGGGTGTGTAATTATACTAATCGAATGCACACTGCCTGACATTTACTCATACATTTTTAATACATGAAACAAAAGATTCTCTGATTGGAAATACAATCTTCCTGACTTCTCATCTTCTGTCTTTGTGTGCCTCATTCAGTGTCACTTATCTATCTCCAAATCTATAGCTTTCAACCTAAGGACTTTCTTTCTTCTCAGTGTGACTCTTTAACCTTCACCTCCTGTAATTTAGCTTGTGGGTGTTGAGTAATTAGCCAGCCTCCCACTTTTATTCTGGTGTGAGTGCATGGAATTTGAGAAATGTCCCATAAAGATTATGTGTCTTGATAGGGTTATGTCTGTGACTCCATTAAAGAGATGGGCTGCACAATGGCTGTTTGTTTCCTTCAGGGAAGACTGAGAGTATGTTAGGGAGAAACTTAAAAATGACCTAAGATGGAAAGCTCATTCCAACAGTGAAAAAAAGCTTTTATAGTCCACTTAGATAAAGTAAGGAACATTACCAGGGTTGAGTCGCAGTAAAAGTAAGGCTTGCAGAGTTTCTTTTCAGAACTTTTTTGTTGGGGATGTTTTTGTATTTATTTTTTATTCCTATCAACCATGCATTTGTGCTTGTGGTACTTTTCATTTGATTGTTTTAGTCATACCCACAGATAATAAAACTTCACATATTATTAATCCACAAAAGCATGTTACCAGACTGCAATTCATGTGAAATTAAGTATTCGGAGATGCATGATATTTTTTGGATACCAAGACTTTAGAAAGTTCAAAATATTGGTAATGCTGTGATCTGTGCCCTCAGTGTTTGTATTCCAAAAAAGGGAAATCAAAACGAAACCCTTGGGAGCTTCTGATGTGGCGTACTATTGAATTTACTGGTGTTGCAAAGCTTTATGTAGATGCTCGACTTTAAGGTAGTAAAAAATCTAGCTATCTTTTTTTTTCACAGATTCAGTACTCTTACTTAAGTAATATTTAATGTAAATCCCTTTATTGTCCCACAATGGTGAAATTCACTCTCTGTATTTTAACCCGTTGGGGTGCAGTGGGCTGCCATTGTTTGGTGCCCGGGGAGCAGTGTGGGGTTTAGGGTCTTGCTCAGGGACCCAGTCTGCTTTCCATTTAATTCAGATATAAATGAGCTGACTACTTTAAGACAATGGTTTGGAGCATTTCTAACATCCTAAAATGGTCAGGCAGTGATTTAGGGCCTGATCTTTAAAGATTCCAAATATGGGGCGCTAAATTGCATGTGCAAAAATTTTTGTTTTGCACGTCCAATCAGTGGTCAAGTTGTGGGTTATCTATAAGGAAAGCCGCGTAAGTTTTGAGATGTGTAAACTGGTTTGGTTCTGTCCCATAAAATGAGCAGATTGGGTGTGCTACTTGCAGTTTGAGAGTGGCTGTAAAAGAAAGATGCGATTCAAAGCCATGCAGATGGAGGTAATGTTCTTTACATTAGTAGATTACCCTAAAGTGTTGGGAACAAAAGTAAAACCTAAAGTGATAAAAATAAATAAAGCGTAAGTTAAATATAAAAAAGCTGAAAATAACATAAAGCATCAGAAAGTTGTCTTTGTCTGCTGATTTTTTCTTTTCGTTTTGGTTTTATTGTTAAACGATTGTTTGCCATCCCTCAGAATTCTTGCAAGCCTGTGTCAAAGTTTGTCTTTATTAATACTATTCTGCCATTGTCTCTGGCGGTTTAAATAAGTTCACCTGCAAACAGAATTTCTCTCCATTATCTGGTATTATACAAATACCTCCTTTGTAGCAACAATGACCTCAGAAATATTGCATCTAACTTTTCACCTGACGTTCAGAAGTCCTTAAAAAGACACAAAAATTGAGGCTGCAGTTTAGTTTCAAATTTGGAAAATCAGTTTGTATGTGATAAACGTTTACATCTCCATCTCCCCATCCTTGAATTTGTACAAGTTGTTCATTAGAACATTATCCGTTCACCGATGAATGCACACATTCTTAAAGGATCTGCTTTGTACATACAAACTGTCTGAAGATCAGGCCCTAAGTATAGAAACAAAACAAGAATAAGATGGTGATGTACTGTTTAAAGCAATCTGATCTCTCCTGAAAGATAATATCAAAATGCCTGGAATTGGCTTTTTATAAAATTCCTGTGTTTAAAATGTGTTAGAATTAATTTTGTTTCGCTATTTTTTAGCATGTTGTTTAGTGACAGGTGCTACCCATAAAAAATTTACTAACTTACTTTAATATACGGGTAACTTTAGAAAAAGCTTATTTGATTGGTCAGATTATAAAATAAGTCTAGGTGCTTACAGTACGTATGCTCAAAATGTAATTCAACAATACAGTATATGCATTCATCTTTATTGCCTTATTTAAGTTGCAAATGTTGACCTCAGTCGTTGGTTTGTTTTATCAGGCATCACAGATTAACACACCTTTAGTATCAGTGTGCTCCAAACCCTACGGTCATTAACTTAGTCACCAGAAAATTGCATTATCTAATGCAAACCAAACAATGAATAAAGCGGACTGTAAACAGCGAGTAAAACTAATGACAGCTCAGCTGGTCTGAAGTTTGAATCTCATGTTTTTAAATTATTCAAGTCTTCCACTCATGTATGGCTCTATATCCCATCTTTTCTTTTCCATCCATAAACAGTGACTAATAAGGGTTCCTGCATTTTATGTTGCTGTTTAATACACAGCTATAGCTGGGTAGAGAAACAAGCACACAAAAAAATGAGTTAAAAAAAAGCATCACTTACCAGTCAGCTCAGCTTTAGAAGTCTGAATAATTGTTTGTTGCCATCTAAAACCTGTTTAAAGCTGCCAGTATAGGATGTCGTTTGGTCTAAATCCCTTTGCCTCTGTCACAAATGGATATCCTACAGCCAGGCAAGATTTAATTCTTTTTCTTTTATGAATGTCATTCTGAGACTCTGGCTGAAATTGTGCAGCAGGGCAGAATAAATAAAAGGGCTACTGCTTGTATATTTATTATGTGAAAGATTATGCCAGAATTGCTCAGTGACCTTGCAGATGCCTTCATCATTAAAGACTTTCTATTTTACAGCTGCTGGGGTCCATTGATCTTGACCTACAGATCTGATAACCACTAATGCATTTTTTTCTCGATATTTCTTGTTCTGCTCATGTTTCACAAATTAAGTAGACCAAACCAAACTCATTTTGTTCATTTATATACAGTAAACGCCAAACATCTCTCTCATTCCCATGAACAAGAAAAGAAATGTTGCTGTTAAAATGTATCCTGTGCTGCATGAAAACTTAGCTACCATTATTTAAACTTAGAATTAAATAACCAACTTATTTAAACCACTCAGCAGGTTTTATATTCAATATTTTTTGGTATGGTTTTGGGCAAATGGAGGATTATAATATAATTAGGCCTGTGATGGTAGGTTCTATTAAAAACAACATTTATTGTAAGTGGCAAAACTTTCATCTACAATTCCTAAGCCTTTGCATAAACTGATCACACCCCTTTGGGACAGCATATACCTAAAGTATCCACTGACTTGTATTTGCATAGTTTCGCACAGTGCGCATCTGTGACCACAGTAAAATGCCTTTATATTTTGCATAAAGAAATTCAACTTTGACTATTCAGATGTTGCAATTGTACGTGACTGTAAGAAATGTTTTGTGTTTCTAGTGGTAGAATAAAGAGTTGTCAACAAGTTTCTCAACAGGATGACTGCCTTTTTAGGAATCTTCAGAGTATTGTGTACGCAGTTTTGGTAAAAACACAAATTAATGCCAACAGCTAAAGAGAAAGCTGACACATTCTTAAACATGAGTCAGTCACAGCCTGACAAAATGCCCTTTTGGAAGCACAGAGCTACTGTTGAAGCAGAATCAGAACATGGAGGCTGTGATTAGCCACTTTATATCCCTAGAGGTTTGTGGCCGAAGTCAGTAGCAGCCCCAGAAGCTTTTCCCCTAAGAGACAGAGCTCAAGAGTCATTTTCTAGATTGATAGTGGATGGCAATTTCATTTGGGTATCATTTATATTTCCACATGAATTACATCCCAGAACCTGCATGTGTCTTAGTGCTGCTTGATAAAAAACACCATCAGTTTAAGTTCGGCTGTGGCGGAAGGATGATTTGTGTAGCTGGAAGGCCTTTAATTTAAGTAAACCACCACTCCCCCCACTCTCTCTCAGTCAGTCGCTTTCATATCCTAGATAATGCCTGACGTCTGGAGCTCTTCACTCACTTGGCTCCTTTGGATATTTGGTTTCATCCGTGTAAATGCCATATATCTTTTTCCCCCGGTTTTACCCGAGATCTTTAGCCACTCCTCTGCTCTCATGTGTCTGCCTCAAAGGTTCTAGATGTGTCATAGTGGTGTGATGATTGATGCCAGAGTGATCTGGCTGCATTCAGAGCTGACTTGACAGTTCTAAGACAGAGGATGTCTTAATCCCTGAGTTGAGGAGGCCACTTATCTCCCTGCACATCTGAGCATGGATATAGAGAATACAAGGAATACAAGGAAGCAGCGTCAGTACAGGAACCCAGCCCGATTGTAAGATAGTTTAATTTTGCTTTGTCATGAACTCACTTATTTAATATATTTTTATGTGTTTACAGAATCAACAGTTGTGTTACGATGGCAGCGGGGGCCTCTCACTGCTTGTTCCTGATGTGTTGGTTCCTCCGAACAGCCAGCCTTGCATTCCCAGAGGAACCTGGACCTGTGAACTTCATCCCCGCTGAAGGTAATGTCCTCCTGCCTTTTCTGCCTTGTAGACTCTTATTCCCTTGTGTGCACTTTCTCATAAGACACAGTGTTAAGTTCTGGGCTGCAGCCAAACACGCATTGTGATGAATTGAGAGGGTAGGGGCATGAAGTAAGGTCACGGTAAAGGTCGCAAAGGTCACACTGGCTCTCACACGAAGCGTGTTGACTGGTATCCAGGTCAGGCAGCTTGGGGCCACCTCCAGGACTGAGGACATGCCTGTAAGATGGAGCTCTAACATTCATGAGTTCCCCTCGCGGCCATGCTTAGACCCTCCAGAGACGCAGTTCCTCCAGCTTTCAGACTCTGTGTCTCCAGATCAGCTTAGCAGTCTCCAGCTCTGACCAGACTTTGATTGATTACAGTTCAATAACACTGACTGATGGTTTCCTAACCAAGTCCGGACCCTTCCCAAGCATCAATACAGAGCAGACATTGTCAGGCTGCTGAACTCCACACTGGATCAGCTTAATTAGAGGTGGCAGCTTTCACCAACAGCCCAAGAATGAATGAATAACTTTGTTTTAGACAATGCAGTGAAATTACAAATGTAGCACTTAGACGTATAATTAATGACTTATATACATTACATTTATCTTTTATTGCTTATGTCTAAAGAGGGGTATGAATAAAACAGTCACAGAGAGACAATAGATCAGTGTACAGAATAATAGGAAAAGATTTGAAAAATACATGATCAAATGGAAATTTATTTGTAGAAGAAAGGCTACAAAAAAGAAACAATTCTACATAAATAATACATATCGAATATGACAGTTGTAGTGATGTTATCTTCTTCTTTCTATCCTCATGTTATTATTGTTTACTGTTTAGAACTATTTTGCTGCTCAGATACCTTGTAAAGATCTATTATAGGAAATATAATATATTACATGTAACGGATGCATTTTAGGTAATCATCCCAAAATATTAAGTTATTTTTACAAAGAAACCGGATGACCAAGGGCTACCTTACAATTGCTGACCACAGGATATTGTAAAGGCCAGTTTGAACGTATTACAAGAAGGAAGAATGTAGTCTTATTTTGGAGAAACACTAGAACCATCTGTCAAACCTATCTTATCTTGCATTTCTTAAAATTTAAGAGCCTTTGTGAATTATTCTTCAGGGTTTGAGGTGCTTTAAGATGTATGAAGAATACAGTTACCAATGGTTGATTGACCCTAAGATTCCTGGTATATCATCTTGAACCAGACTCTTTTTAAAGTTTGGATATTTAGTTAAACGGAAAGATGTTTGTTTGAGAAGATCCCAGTAGTTTATGAAGTAATCAGACCAAAACAATGGCAACAATGAATACTCCTTTGATGCTTAAAACTCCTTCAGTCTTCTTCACATCTACAGTAGAAGCTTGAATGATTTGTGGACTCATTATATTTGAACTGAACTGTACGTTTAGAGATTAAATTCAATAAAATGTAAACAATTTACATGTAAATAAATAGAGAGAAACTCTTTTTGTATAGGAATGGATAATCTGAAACCTTTCATGCTGCTGGTTATATCCACCTTTGTCATAAAAGATTTGGGTAAACAGCCTAAAAAAATAATGAAATCAGACAAAGTACAAAGGTTGCAAAGATCAAGGGAGATGAACTGAGTTTAGAAAAGGATATAAAAAAGTAATGATGGTAGAGCAGAGAGCTGATGAAAGGATATCAGATGAAAACTTTCTCTGCACCTAGAGCGAAGGTCAAAGCAGATAGCTCTATAGATTCTCATCTGAAATCCAACCTATTTTGTTATAGCTCAACTCTTCTTTTTCTCTTCACTCTTTTTTCTCTACATATTCTTGGACACGTTTCATCTTTTATTCCTTGCTTTTCATGTAAGCTTACTTTGTTCTCAACATAACCAAAACAAAGTCTTATGAAATACTGAAGATGTTAATGTTTGCAAGTCTGTTTTTTAATCATTTGATCCCTCTATTGGAACATCAATTACTGTACAGCTAAACGAGAAAGAAACAACAGTAAATGCTAAATCCTAATGTTCCATTTTTAGGAATGGCACTTTAATATCAGCTGTTGTATATGTTTCCTGTCATTGTCCAATAGTGGTGAGAAGATACCCTGTGTTTCTGGGTCGACCACACCGAACATGGCAGAGGCAGGAGCCACTGCACATCCAGAGGATCATCCAAGTCAACCGGACGCTCTACATTGGTGCCAGGTACAAACAATGCTAACGCACACAGTGCTTTGTATACAGAGCCATTCTAGTAAAGCCAATTGTAGTACCACTAACACGCATTTCAAAAGGTTTAATATCCCTTAAGCTTTGTTACGTTTCCACCAAGTTACAACCTCATAAAATAATGGCTCATGAGTATTTTGTGTTGTAGTAAAACACAAAGGTCCAAAAAAATAGATACATTTAAAAAAGTTTAGGACATTTTTAGAGTAAAAAGTTGGAAAAGTGTGTACTTTGGTCTTAACTCTCCATTTTTAGCACAGGCTTTCTTTTTTCCCTAGATCATTTTAGAGTAATTTTCCGGCTGAGACATCTTGCCAATCTCAATTTTTTTGCGTTTTTATTTCCCCTATTTAGCTCCATCTATGTTTTCATAAACTATATTCATCTTGTGTGATGCTGCATTTCCATGCAGCATCACAGCATGACTGCTGCTTTACAAAAGTATATATGTGTGTATATATTTGTTCAGATTTGGCTTTCTGCCACATAGCCATATGAATGGAGCCTTTTGGTTGCCCTTCTTCTACAAGTTTGCGTTGCTCCCCTTACGGCTTTCAAAGAATTGCCAACAAACATACAGCTTTATTTAAATAATGTTCTTCCATATTGCCATAACAGAGCAAATTTGTGGAGTGCAAAGCTAACAGAATAAGATTTTCCAACCTGTGTCTCTCCAGAGTAACTATTGGTCTTTTGGGTTCTTCTCTGATTTATACTCTCCTTACCTGGTTTGTCAGTTTAGTTAGGGATCTCTAAAGGTTTATATTTGTAAATATTAAACCTTAAACTTTTCTAAAACTTTATCTGTAGAATTTCTGATGTTTTCAGTTCTCTTCATTATTGAGTTGGAGGGAAAATTCAATTCAATTCAATTCAGTTTATTTATATAGCGCCAAATTCACAACACATGTCATCTCAAGGCACTTTACAGTTCAACCAGATCATACAGTCAAATTGATACAAAGTTTTCTATCTAAGGAAAACCAGTTGATTGCATTGACTCATTGACTCAAATACAATCCCCCACACTAAGCATGCTTGTAGCGACAGTGGAGAGGAAAAACTCCCTTTTAACAGGAAGAAACCTCCAGCAGAACCAGGCTCAGTGTGAGCGGCCATCTGCCGAGGCCGACTGGGGTTCAAGGAGACAGAAGCAGAGATACAAAAAGCAGCTGTAAAAGGCGGCCCCGTCCAGGAAACACACAGCCAGGCAGACGAGCTCCAAGGCAGCTCCCATGCCAGAGGACGAAGAGAGCACATCCACTCAGTCAAAATGAAAAATAATATATCTTAATCTAAGTAACGTATCACTGTTTTAGTAATGCAACCCTCAGAAGCATATTTTGCTGAAAACCCCCACCACGTTGCCTATTGAACGTGCATATGTTTGGATGTTCTCTGCTGCAACTCCACAAATATCTAAAAATTCAGAAGAAAAAAGTACTTTCACCTAGCTATCGGATGAAGATTTTCTGCAGACAAAAAAGCCTGTATCAGTATGAAAGCTCTGTTTTTCTCACAGTGAGCGCGATGGCCTTTCATTTGGCAGGCAGAATAAAGGATCTCATTACATTACATTCAACTCTGCTGAGTTGCTTCTTTTCACAATGCTTTACCTTTTGAAATTCGTTTTTTTTTCCTTTTCTGACTGTTTATGTTGTAACTGCTCCCATGAGTCTATAAATGAAAGTTCTGTAAAATTGTTTGATTTTTTTTTAAATCCATTGAGGCCTAATATATCTCTAAATCCACAATAAGACAGCTAAATAAAATAAATCGAAACCTTTAAAATCTTCAAAAAAATTTTTTTTTTTACTCCTGGATTAGAGTATACACAGATAGACACTTTCATATTAAAGTTACTTCTTGATTGTTGTTTGCATTGAATTTGTATTTCATATCAAAATAGAATAGAATAGAATAGAATAGAAAATCCCTTTATTGTCCCACAATGTGGAAATGGTGGTGTTACAGCAGCAAAGGTTAAAGCAGAAGAGGTCACAAAATGTGGACCTTAGAAAGTGTATAAAGATAAGGGAATAAGTGACAGAGTTAAGGAAATAAACAAATAAGTACTGTACTGTACAGTGTTTTTTTTTACAATATAAATGTTCTGTATCTGGAGAGTAAATAATCAATATACAGCTCTGAACATTTTTAGTAAGTAATGGATATGTAAAAAAAATAACAGCAACATCAGAGATGTGCAAAAGGACAGCAGTATGTTATATAAGAGACTTAAGACAGAAACTGTGCAAAAATCAGCGTGAATGTAAAAACTTATTGAGGTTGTTGGGAACAGTGATGGTTATAAAGCCTTAAAGCTGCAGGGAGGAAGGATCTGTGATAACACTTATTAGTGCCTTTAGAGCGCAAGGAGTTTTACGGTTCTGCAACAGCTTCATGCATGGGGTGGTAGACATCATCCAACAGAGATGTTATTTTAGTTAGGGTCCTAAAATAAAATAAAAGGAGAAAAAATAAATGCAACAGTTTCAAATTTTTGTCTCTCAAAATATAGAGGAGTACACCGGGTAATTAGATACTATGACAGATGAATTTAAATTTTGCCATTTCTTATGCTGCCTCTTGAATCTTTCAGCAGGTCTTTTAAGCATCAGTCTCGTGTTTGTTAATATTTCATTCCTCGCTTTTATTCAATATTACAGGATGAAGCAGTCTTTTAGCAAACTAAAGTGCTAACATCCATGTGAAAGGCATATGAACTTTAGCTTTAATCCTCAACTATCAACACAATATTGGTCAATATTTGGGTCATTCTGTTGTAAGTGCACAAAAGCAAGCCATTATTTTTCTAAGGTTGCACAGCTTGCGGGGGAAAAAGGCTGCATTCGGTTTGAATCCCTGCTCAGCCAAAACACCTCTCGTCCTCCCGCTTTGTCAGACATGGACAAGGTGCGAAGAACATTGTGCAGGGTAGTACAGGGTTTTCAACGGCCCTCTTTCTACCCAAATTGTAATTTCTTGTTCTTAACCCAAGCATGTTATTTTTAAATGATTAGCATTTCTGCAGAGAAGTCCTGATAGTTGAGTATAAAAAAGAAAAACACAGAGATCTCACGGAGAACTTTAATAAAAATGATCTTCATTTGAGCAGTATGTTAAATTGTATTGACTTAATCCTCAGAAAAGAAAGTTAGTTTTATTTTTACCAACCTAAGGTGACATGGTTCTTAAAGTGACTGATGTCATTAGTCTCCTCTCACATCCTCAGAGTAATTGTAACCTTAAGCCTTTAAATGTTAAAATAGGTGTTTGGAACTGACTAACCTTTCACACGTCTCATAATCTGTCGTAGCCTGTCCAGAATAATTGGTGCGGTTGTTTTAGAAATAACATGTGTCCCAAATTGCAAATGCCACTCCTCATTTATAAGGAAATCTGGCCGAGTAGGAGCATCTGAGGGCGTTTTTTTTTGTTGGCCGACAAATGACAGGTCAAGTATGTTCTTGTTTTGTCTCAATCGGATGATGTCCTCCACATGTGTGTCAGCCTTGGGAATGCGCTAATCCTGAACAGGCTGCAAGCAGGGTGGTCATGATAGTGAGCAACGATAAATGGTTCATTGTAGTTTAAACAGCCCATATAAATCTTCAATTTCTGTGACCAAAGTCATCAGCTGGACTAAACCTGTATGGATAACTGATAGTATAATCCAAATCAGTTTTTTTCCTGAAAGATAAGTTGATACATTCCAAAAGGTGGAGTGTGGTCAAGGAAATGACCCAGTCCTTGGCCCCCAGCCGTTCTCCTGTGACACGGTAGTAAATTTATCAAACTATGTAACATAGCTGCAGCCGTTCTGTCTGCACTGGGATGGTCCATAAGCTAAAACACGCATATTTTTGAACAGACTGCTAATAAAACTGTCCGAGACAACCAAAGCTACTGCAAGCTGGAAGGTCTGCGCTAAAATATAATCAGAACCATGAACCGAGTTACAAAATGTTCATTGTGATTTACAGTGGTGAAATATTCCCCTAACTAGGTAATGGGATATGAATGTTTCAACAGAGCTCATGATAGTAAAATACTTTATTACTTTTACAGCAATAAATTGGAAGCAGGGGCCAAAGGTATAGTGCTGTGAAAAAATATTTGCTCACTTAAAAATTTGTGCTGCTTGTGCATTTTTGTCACCCATTTCACCTAATACACTTTTGCTTCTCTGGGCCTCTGAATACTTTTTAAAGATGTTTTTTTTTTAATTAATCTATTCTTTCCATTCTTCTTCCTCTTCTATTCTTTTTTTTTGCAAATATAACATGTTATTTTTCATCAGACGTGATTTTGGCCATTTCACTCTTCCACAGAAACCTTTTTGCTCTCTCTTTTTGATAATTGCTTTATAACCTCTGGCCTTAGCTAAGGTAAGAGAGGTCTACAGTGGATCTGGTGAGTCCTTGGAAGGCTCACCCCTCCATTTTTGGATACCTGCTCTAATTGTGGCTTTCGTCAATCTAATCATTTAGAGGTCATAATATAATCTCTCAAGACAGATAGACGTTGCTTGCTTTTGCAAGCACAAAATTTCATTAAAACTTTACATCAGTGGTCTATAATTCCCCTCATCAATGTCTAGGGTCATGTACCTTTAGATGTGTCTTTGTTTCAACATATTTGAGTCAAATTATCAGGTCATTAGCAGGATAATTCAAATGGCTGATCATTCATCAGGTGTGCGGAAGCAGGGAAACATCTCAAAGTTGCAGGACACTGGACTTCGAGGAGTGGAATTAGAAAAAACTTGCTTAATGGAAATAGACCAGGTTTTTCCCCTTGGTCAAACATCTTGTCAATACAGGCAGAAAAACAACACATTGCCAAAGGACACAAGTGTTCCACAGATTAAAGGGATAGTTCGGTATTTTTGACATGAATCTGTATGGCATCCCGATCACCAGCGGCATGCGATCACACTGACTTACCCCTGGCAGCGTCCTGTGAGCAGAGTT